AGCAATACAAATCCGAGCGCGTCCGTGGACATGCCGGCATGTAATAAAACAATACATCAGGCAACTAGTGAATAACCTTGGACACAAATGTGTGCGTGCGTGTGTGCGTGTGTGTGTGTGTGTGTGTGTGTGTGTGTGTGTGTGTGTGCAGCTGGGGTGTCGAGCGTGGTGGGGAGCGAGCCCGACGGAGGAGGGAGCATCGCATCCTTCCTTCCCCCGAATTAAGATTGCAAAGTATTTCCACCTAAAGTTTCCAGGGAAAGTCCAGATCGGGCCTCAGACCCAGCTGGGAAAAATAAACTATTATTATTGTTGTTGTTAGCAATAATAATAACAACAACCACACGGGCAGGAGGAATTCTTCCCAGGCAGGGCTAGAGCCAAGCTTCCCCCATCGGGGCGAGACTCAGGGCACGCGTGGCAGGGCAGAGGGGCCCCGCCGGGGGCCGAGGCTCAGCGCTCCCCGGGGTGCGCAGGGAGCCAGGACCGGGGAGTGGGAGAGAAGAGCGCTTCCTTCCCTGGGAAAGGGCCGTCTCTTGCCAGGACCGTCGGAAACGCTTCCTCTTCGATTTTTAAATAAGGAGCGTTAATCAGGCCCACAAGGCACGGGTAGGGAAAAAAAAACCCCTTAGCGCGCAAGTCAGGTATCAGTGATCTCGTGGGGCAAAAAGATAACGAGGAAAGGTTTAAAATAACCTTTCAACTAGCATCCAAGCGAGGGGGCTTATGCAAAAAGCACGCTAGAGAGGCAGGATTTGCCGGGCGGTTGTACGAAAACGGGCAATTAAAGCGGTGGCTCCTGAAGAAAGTTGCTTAGAGGTTTCTCTAGGTGTATGTTGAATTTTTCCCTTTGATTTGGTTTAATCTATACTGTGGGGTTTGGAGAGCTGATCCTGAAAGAGACTTTTTCCCTCACCCTCTATATTTTATTTTATTTTTAATTATTATTATTATTACAGTAAGCCCATGCCCTGTGCTACCTGCAAAAGGGAAAGATATTGTTAAGGCTGCTTACCTCGGTGGAGTCGTTTGGATAGCCTCTCTCTCCAGGTCCCCTCGCCCCCTCGGCGATTCCTTTACAGTTCAAATGACCCTCCGGGAGCGGAGCATGGAAAAATTAAAAAATCAAAATCAAATAAAATTAATTACGAGCGAAAAAGTGTCCTGCTCGAATTGGGAAAGGCAGATCTCATCCCTCGCCGCGGCCTCCAGCGCTCCAGAGATGGGAGATGTTATACTGTCGTGTTTGTTCGCGGAGTATAAATAACAACTTAAGTTACTTACGATGCATCAGGGGAGAAAAAGCGTTTCCCCATCAAAGTCCTCCTCCGCCCGTTCGTCCGGGGCAGCTGCTGCAGCGCACCGGCGGCTTCGGCCGCTCGGTTTTAGAGGAGGAAAGTGCCCTCTCTCCCGCTTTTCTTCCTCCTCTTCCCCGACCGCGATAAATAACAAAAGGGATGCGGCGACAGCACCGGCACCGTCCGGGATTATTCCCTCTCTCCCGCCCTCTCAGCCTCTCCTTCCCT